AAATTTTTTAATTTCTTGTTTAATAGCTGAGTTCCTGTATATTCTTCCCTTAATCTGTTGTAATAGCACAAATCATGTCACCTTGGGAAAATCCCACTGTAAGTTTGTGAGAATTCAGACACAAAAGGCAACTAGCATCTGAGTATGAAGGTAATTGTGATGATTTTAGGAGAGGTCTTAGGCAACCTGGAGTCCTTAGATTACAGTTTGAGGAGGCTAGGGAGATAGCTCAGTAGAATAAGCACTTGCCTGGCAAGTGCAAGGCCCTGAGTTCAATCCCTGGTACTGGAAAAAAAAAAAAAAGTAAAACAAACAAAAAAATAACAATTTGAGAAGTGCTTCTCTAAAGTTTAGAACATGTAGTTTTAACTTACTACAAGATATGTTTAACTAACGTACAATTTCAGTTAGAAGACCCTTAAAATAATAAATTTCCATCTAAGCCCTCCATCACTTTTGCTATTGTTAACATATAATTTACTTCCATTTTATAAATCCCACAATGAATTTTTGTTTTTACTTTCAGCAGTTATCTTTTAGAGGGATTTGAAAGTTGGAAAAACTTGTAAAAAATATTAGTTCACATGCTTACCATTTCTGACATTCTTCATTTCTTTGTGTAGATCCAAGTCTCCATCTGGTATGATTTCCTTTTGCCTGAAGAGTTTCCTTTAGCGATTCTTTTATTGGAGGTCTGCTGCTGCTGAGTGCTTTTTATTTTTGTTTTAAAATATTTCATTTTGCATTTTTAAAGGTTATTTTTACTAGATATTGAGTTATAGGCATATACTTTCTTCTAGCCCTTTAATGATATTAGGGCTCGACATACAGCTCAGTGGTGGCATGCTTGCCTACTCTGATTCCCAGCACTGCTAGAAGAAGTTGTGTTCTGGGTTGGATAGCTTCTGACAGTAACTCTACACTAATGTTTATCTTTGCTCTCTCTAGTTACTGTGCGTCTTCTTACACTAATTGTAAGGTTTTCTCTTTTTATTGCTGTTGTCACCCATTTTATTTTGATGAGGTGGGGAATGTGGCATAAAAATGTTTCCCCCTTTTTCCTCTCCTTATGGCACTCCAAAGACATGATGTTAAACCACTTGCTTTTGTATCACAGGTCACTGTGGGGATTTTTTTCTTTTTATTCAGTTAAAAAAATTGTGCTTTAGTTCTGTTAGATGAGTTTATAAATCTTTATTTCTCCATTGTCTATTCTGCTGTTCATCCTGTCTAATAAAATTCTACAAGTATATGATATAAAAGTTTATATTGTATGTTTTATATCTAAAGTTTCATTTGATTTGTCTTTTTTTTTTTTTTTTTTTTTTTTTTACTAGGGATCGAACTCAGGACCTTATGCATGCCAGGCAACTGCTTATGCCACTGAACTGTCTCCCCTGTCCTCTCTCTGGCATTTTTGAGTCAAATACTTGATTGCAATTTGTTGGTCCCATCATTTGCTATTTTTAAGCTTGTTTCTACTAACTGATTTTTCCTAATTATGGGTCATATTTTCCTTCTTACATTCAATATCTTTTGACTGGATGCTGGGCATTATGATGTTACATATTACATAGTTAAGTATTTTGATAGTTTAATCTCCTTGAGACCTGTTTTTAGTCTTTGCTAGAGTACATCTTCCATATTTTCACCCTAGGGACAGCTTAGCCCTCCCTTAAATGTGTGACTCCTCTGAAGTCCCCACTGAATGCTCCATGTCATCACCATTGACTCTACAGGCTGATTAGTCTGACTCTACCCTCTATGAACTCTAGAAATTATTTCCTTAACAAATCTACCAGCACTCATTGCCAACATTTGTGAAGGGCCTGGCACTGTGTGTGTGTTCCATTACTCAGCAAAGAGTCAAGTGGCTCCCTATGTAGATTTCTGGAGCTCTTTGCAATGTGTTGCTCATTTTGTTGTAGAACTGTGCTTCACAGCTTCTAGCAGTGACAACCTCTCCAAATTCTGATAAGTTTCTCAACTTACAAAGGCTACAAGGTTCTCGTCTGTTTTTATCCATTTTCCCACTGTGATCTGGAAATCGCCTCCAGGCATAATGCCAGGAAAATAAGAGGTTCATCACATTTATTTGTCCTCTCTTAGTGAACCCAGTCCAGTGCTGCCCGTTGTCCAATGTGTGAGAGCAGTTGTGGCATATATTTGGTCTAGGTTTTCAAAACAAGAGGCTAAATATTTATGTTTCTAATGGTGAGGAATATTGTTTGCAGTTCTTAGATATTTTTTAGGTCATAACAGCCTTCGTTTTCTTGATCAATGATGAAAAAAATATATGATAGTGAAATATTTTGGTGAAACATCATGATGTGATTTTTTAAATACAATCTTCCTGAATATCTTTCAAAGATGTTGGCTAGAATGAAAACTCCAGTTGTGGCTATAAGATGCTGTTTCTGCCTGTGAAACTTACCTTCCATATGTGAAAACTCTACTGCTATAAATTCTAAATAACTGATTCTATGCTTTAGGTTTCAATTCTAAGCCATATCTCTCTTAATTAAAAAAAGAAATCTCTAGATGCTTTAAAAACCTCTATGGCTTTTTCTCAGTCCAAATGCCTTATCTGACTGATGAATTTTACTTTTATATATCAGCCCTACAGTGACAGCCTCATGGTGTAGTGGTTAGGTTGTCTCAGAATGCCATCCAACAGGCTTAGAACTCTGTGGCCAAAGGACCATTGGATTTGGGGCCTCTTATTGTAAGGAATTAACCCAAGTGAAATAGGAGTGCTCCATATCCACTTGAAACCTCTTGCTTGGAGAAAACTAGATTGTTTCTAAACTTGACCTGAAGATGTGGTTCAAAAGAAGGGAATTTAAGGATTGGAATTTGCCTTTGAAAAGGTCATATTTCCAATTTCAGTTTAAAAAAAAGTGAGGAGCTGTAAGTGTTTCCTAAGATTTTCTTTTTCACTATCCTCTATGGTTGGCTAATAGCATCAAGTACTTGGGGCTATAGGATGGAGGTGTATAGAAAAAGATGACAGCTCTAGGGCCATGTGGGTCATTGCTGTGTGGTCTGAGTGGATTTTGACTTGGATATAGAATCACAAACATTATTTGTGGTTTGGGCACCAAAGACTTTAAGAAATAAAGCTCTTTAATCATTGAGGTATGTTTTTTCTTAGCAGAGAATATAATTAGTTCTGATTTTACTTTTTTTTTCAGTAAATAGATTCATAGACATTAATCTCAAGACAGAATGATATTTAGATTATGAAAAGCATGTCATTGTCTGTGGCATCCTTGGTTTTTTGGAATAGTAATGAACAAAATTTCCAGACAGTGGGATTGGTAAAAAAAGGATGGAATAAATGTATGTGTTCTAAAAGAAGAAAGGTATAAAATGTATATTTAGTGTTGAAAAGACTATTATAGAATGATAGGTACAATGATTAGGGTTCAACTTTTATATTTAAAATGGTATATAAGTACATGCCTGTGATATATTTAATAATATATCCATATATTAATAAGAAAATATCTGAGAAATTACAACTATTATTAAACTAAGCATAGTCACATTGACTACTTTTAAGGGAGAAGGGGTATTAATCTTTTACTATATACACTACATTAGTAACTAAAAATTAGCATATAGCATTTACTATGTAACAAATGCTATGCTATACATTTTAGATACTTTGCATTGTCCTAAGCCTTGTATTCTTTTTTTTTTTTTTCTTTTTCTTTTTCGGAAACAGGGATTGAACTCAGGCCCTTGTTCTTGCCAGGCAAGCGCTTGTTCTACTGAGCCATCTCCCTGGCCAAGCCTTGTATTCTTGTGGCTGCACTGAATCCTATATTAGAGGTGGCAGGTTGCCAGGAGAGGAGACCAAGTCCTTGCCCTGATCTGTGTTTACACACTAGTCATACCGTTGTTACCAGATTGCGTGTTTATTTAAGATAACACAGTAGGGTTACTGGAATGCTGCCAGCAACACTGTGTTCATGCTGCTGATAGCAATTCAAGAAGGAAGTAATATTATTTCCTATTATTTATGGATACAGCAACCGAGGCACAGAGAGGTTAAATCATTTGCCCAATATCAGAGAGCTCGTAAACAACATAGCTCTAAGACTTCTTTGTTAAATTCTACATAGTTCCGGCTCTTGATTTGAATTTGTTACAGTAAGATATTACTCTCAATTTTAAAAATTAAAAAAAATAAAGATGGACGATTTTTTGAATTATGACCTTAAAACACTTTAGAGACATAGACATAGAAGTGAAAAAGAATTTAAGGGGTCTGGGAAATGGTTCATTAGAATAAGTGCTTGCCTGGCAAGCTCAAGGGCCTGAATTCAATCCCCAGTTATGCCAAACAAACAAACAAACAAACAAACAAAAAAAAGAAAAGAAAAGAAAAAGAATTTAGAATAGATTTTTTTAGAATAGACAAGTCAACAACTTCAAACATTGACAGTCTTATGGAAAACCCACTACCATTACGGACTATTGGACTATATTGGAATGTTTTGCTGAATTCATGCACCTACAGTAATTAAATGACAATGGAATGCCCTTCTCTGACAAAACTAACCAAAAAAAGGGGGATATAAATGAACAATCATTTTGTATCTGTATACTCAAAATAGTTAGGATAGATATACAGCTCCATTCTCTTAATGAATAGAGAGGTTTGTTCTAATAGTGTTTGAAACAGGATATCAGGTCTGCATCTTGTACAATGAATAACCACTAAGAGAACAATATGCAATGTATTTATTATTGAAAATGTGCTAGTAATCAGTTGTGAAACTATCTCATTGCTATTTGTTTCTCAATAAAAATGTTAAAAGAAGAATTTTTAAGAATAGAATACAGTGTCACTGGAAAGTATGGATAACAAATTGGAATATCTAGTTAAAGAACAGGCAATTAATATTAAGTCATATGTGTTCTTTTATTTGTATCTTTTGTGATAATGTTTTATGTAACTGTCTATTTTTCCTTTTTTTTTTTTTAAACAGGAAAGATGAACAGATCATGTTTGAGCACCATGGAACCTTTAGGCTCTACTTTAACATCAACTTATGCCCATCCTGCACCAGCCAACTTCCTACCAGCCCTTGGTACCATGGCATCAAGCTATAGGGATCGCTTTCCCCATTACAATTTGACCCATAGCTTGAGCCTTCCTTGGAGACCAAGCACATACTACAAAGCAGCCTCTAACTTGCCAACCTTGGGCCCGTACTGCACCAGAGCACAGAGGGTTTGCGAGAGCACCATGCTTCCCTTTGTTTCCAACAGAACCACCCTCTTCACAAGATACACTCCTGACGATTGGTACAGGTCCAATTTAACGAACTACCAAGAGTCTAAAACTTCCCGACATAATTCAGAGAGACTCAGAGTGGATACATCTCGCCTCATTCAGGACAAACATCAACAGACGAGAAAAACCCAGGCAGATTCTACCCAAAATTTGGGAGAACGTGTCAATGACATAGCGTTTTGGAAATCTGAAATCACTCATGAGTTGGATGAAATGATTGGAGAGACAAATGCACTTACTGATATTAAGAAAAGACTAGAGAGGGCTTTACTGGAGACTGAAGCCCCTCTGCAGGTAAAATTGGGGGCTGATTACAAAAGGAGCTGCATTTTGATTGCTGTAGCCCATCGGTTGAAGTTCTGAAGTTATTTATATGTAGGATTATGTTTTATTTAACCTGTAGAAGCAACCCTTATCATTACATGTGTACTAATTTTAGTCATGGCAAAACCAGTGCCATTTTCACACTATGTATGAAAATTCTTTAAGAATTGATTTCAAAGAAAACTAAAGAGATACCATTAAGACACAGATTTTTAAGGTGAACCTCTTTCTCTTTCTCTTTCTAGCATGCATTAAAGGTGAACTCAGAGCCCTTCACACTAAGCTATACCCCAGATTTTTATATTATTCAACTTATAAGAACTGGAGTTGAATACAAGGGCTTCATATTGGGCTATATCTCCAACCTTTAAAAAAATATTTTTCGGTTATGCTTTTACTAAACCACTAGGTTGCCTACACCAGGCTCGAACTTTCAATACTCCCATATCAGTCTCTAGGATTGGAGGGATTACCTGCACCCACTTATCTCAAAAAGGGTGCTTGATCTCTGTTGGTTCTAGACTAAGATAAAAAAACATTTAAAACAAAGTATTATCGGGGCCAGGGAGATAGCTCAGTAGAATAAGTGCTTGCCTGGCAAGCGCAAGGGCCTGAATTCAATCCCGGGTTCCACCAAAAAAAAAAAAAAAAAAAAAAAAAAAATATTCTTTAGTTTGTGCTATGAAAGACAGCTGTGTATGTTCTGATTTTTTTTTTTTTTTAGGGCACAAAGTGTCAAATGAGAGCATTTTAGGAATAAGTTTTATTAAATAGACACGTGGAACCAAGGTAATGTCAGTTGCCATGGTAGCAGTGGCAGCATGTTAGCAGGCCTCTGGCCAGGCCTCTGAGTAGCCCCAATCACCTCTGACTCTTGGACCACCTGATGGATACTCCAGCCCTATTCTGCCCTCCATCACTGAACTGAGACATTCCATATTTGAAAATGTGCTAATCATATAAATTATTTTAGAAGGTATATAGATTTTGATGAGCATAACACCATTTTAAAAAATGTATTTAGAACAAGGTCTACAGGATCTCATTACACAGATCAGACTCCTAGTGACCCTCCTATTTTCAGCCTCCCAAGTGCTGGGGTTACAGGTGAGCACCACCATGCCCAGTCTCAGTTGCTGTCTCAGTGTGCTGCGGGGGCGGGGCCAGCATGGCATGCCAGGGATCAAACCCTAGTCCCTGTGCCTAATACCATTAATATTCATGTTTGCCTGAGTTGTTTCCTATATGATCAGTGTTGGTACTTGGACTTTACTATGGTAACTACCAGAAGAGTTTAGAGAACGAAGGAACTGGAAGGCTAGTGGCTTGAACTGACTAGGCATCCCTGCACAATGTCACTTTTTGTCACACTCCCGTGCCATGAACCACAGATACACAAAGACATACAATCCCCAGAGTCTTGAGAAAGGTTGATAGACTCTGATGCTAGTGAGTTGTTCAGAGTTAGAAGGCCTTCTATGCTTTCCCTGAACCTCCACTCTGAGGATTAATTGATTTTATAGCACAGCACATCCCACACTACCTTTAAGAATTTGGTGTCCTTGAGACAGTAGCCCTTTCCTCTCATGGAGGAGATTCAGTTTCATAGTATTCTCAGCAATGGGTACTTTCAATGAGATGACTCTAATTTCGATTCTTTTCTGTAATTTTCGTTCACATTTTCTTGTGCTGGAACATTTACACCCAACACAAGATCACAAACTCCTGTTTAAATTTAGAGTACTTCATATCAACAGATACATTCAAAAGAGAAAATATAGATGATCAATAACATAAGGAAAATGTATTTTTTTTGGAAAAATGTAAAACAAACAAAACCAATAAAATTGATCAAGTAGACTTTAACATCTCAAATTTGCAATAATGAAAACTCCTACATCTAAGATTGACAAAAAAGTGAAAAAGGGGTACCCTCATATATTACTGATGGGGTGGAGAATTAACAAAAATTTCCTGGAAAGTGGTACAGTAATATGTAACGAAGAAATCAGAGTTCCCTTTGAGACATTAATTTCTCTTTTAATAAGCGTTATATTATCAAAATTTAGAGTCATTCAAATATATTAATGATAATATATCTGGATTATAGTTTATATATTTACATTTATGTATTTAAAAAGTTTAACATTGTATTGTAGCCCTATGTCATGAAATAGTTTTTGAGAAAAGCATTTTAACAGCTACATAATGTTCTTTCATACATAATTTATTGCTAGCACTCTAAGCTGTTTTCCATTGGCATCATTAACATACTCTATCTCAAATAATATTTCATGACTTGTATCTACTATTTATTGTCATCTTGAAAAGCATAATGTGAAAATGTAAGGACATTATACCTTCCATTTTTTTAGCACAAGAAAAAAATTGATAGGAATCTGGAAAGATAATATTTATTACCCTGAATAGATAAAAGCATATCCTTTTTATAACTGGAAAAATAATAAATGACACTGTAAAAAGAATAACTTGAAATTTTGACTACACAAATATTCTGATGTCCTGAAAGGAAAGCATTTATATTTTCCCTTATTCTTCTCAGTAGAAAATATTTTGAAGTAATAATTTATTGTTGAACTGTTACTCTTAAACTATGCCAAGTAATTTTCTCAGGTGTTGATTTGCAGAAATCAAGTTGATACTGTTTATTTTATTTTATCAACTTTCCAAGCAAGGAATTTTTCCAAGGTGTGTTGAAGCACTAACTCTTTATTTTTTTTTTTTT